GATTTTTAACAAGAGTGCAAAAACAATTCAATGGGGGAAAGAATAATCGTTTAAAAAAATGGTGCTTGTCATCATCAACTGGTTTAACACAATCCAGAAAAACAATGTTCTACATCCTACTGTGGTGAGTAGTGACTGGAATCTTAAAAGCTCATGAGCGACCATCTAAGGTACAACAATTAGTCTCCCCCTACGCAGAGAAAAGAGGAGTGATGAAAATTGAAGATGCGTGGAATCAATTAAACAACGTACTAATGGAACTCATGGACATTACGCTCCCTGACCCTGAGACCAGAAGATCTAGATGGTGCTCAGCTACCATTACCAACTCTTTTGAAAGGGATGACATTAGCAGGTCTTGGATAGAATAGGAGAAAATGTAGAACAAAACTCAAAATTATAAACAAGGTCAGACTTACTAGTCAGAAAGAGCAAGGAAGAACCTGAGACAATGGCCCTTGAGCACCCTTCAGTTCTGGAACTCATCCTGATGGCTCAATTTTCAGCCAAGCAGTAGATAGGTATATAGGGGCACAACAGTATTAGTGAGGTATGCAGGCCGTGGACCAGCCAACCATTTAAGATCAAAAGGACAGCATAACCTAAGGACAAAATTCAGAAGGACTGGAAAAGACCATGGAATGAAAACAAGAATATAGGGAGGAAGCAGGCAAACTGTTGTTATATGGGGTTACAATCAATGAAATAAATTGAAGAGGTACAGCCAAAATGCTCCTTGGAGACAAAGATCATGAGATTCACATCTCATACTTTGGACGTATTATCAGGAGAAACCAGTCCATGGAGAAGGACAGTATATGCATTGAAGAGGTACAGCCAAAATGCTCATTGAAAGCAAGGATGGTGAGATTTTGTCTCTTATACTTTGGACATATTGCCAGGAGAGACCAGTCCTTGGAGAAGGGCATTATGATTGATAAAGTGGAGTGTCAATGAAAAACTGAAAGACTCCCAACAAGATGACAGCAGCAATGGAATTAAGCACAATAACAATTGTGAAGATAGTGCAAGATCACCATCTGTTGTGCACAGGGTCACTATGAATCACAAACAACCTGACAGCACCTAACAAAAACAGCAACATATGCCACGTGGAATGTAAAACTGTTTATCTGCTCTGTAAACCTTCACTTAATTCATGATAAGTTTTTTTAAAAAAATGGTGCTAGGACAACTGGATATCCAAATGCAAAAGAATGACTATAGACTTCTACCTCTTACCATATACAAAAATCAACTCCAAATTGAACCGACACTTAAATCAAAGAGCTAAAACTACAAAACTCTTAGAAGACGACAAAAGTGTAAATCTTCATGATTTTAGATTAAAAAATGTTTTTTTAGATATGACATCTAAAGCACAAGCAAAAAAAATGACTTTTTCCTGGGACAAAACGGCAAAATAGTCATGCTAAGCAAACCCTCTGCAATAAAGACATGGTGGACCAATTGAAATAGATACAGACGGTGATCCTGGAACCTTGAGTTGTAGAGATAGGAAAGAGAGGTGGATTAACTGCCAACAAGAAGCTGAACAGGAGCAGAAAGAGAAGAAAAAGCAGGTAGGTAGGTTTTTCCTGGAGCAGTGTGGCCATCTTGAGCTTTTGTAAGCAGCTGTCAATACAGAAGCCTGCAAACACAGGATTCATCTGGAGATCAGTGGTAACAGGGGTACAATTCTCCCTTGTTTCCATGCCCTTCTGGTAGCCTGGGCATGGCCAGTGTCCACCCTCACAATTCCACTGGTTTGTGACACCTCTGCCTGAGCAGCCTAGGCTCTACTTGTTATCAGTTGCTAGGCATACCACCCCTGCTTCTGGAGGTTCCTAAACCTACCCTGAACCATGCTACATAAAGATGTGAGTTTACATTTCCAGTCTATATCACAGCCACCAGGAGACAGGTTGACGTGTCTGAGAACACACCAATATAAAATCCTCAATTAAATGGTAAAAAAAAAAAATAACACCAACATAACTGCAGATGAAATCAAGGACAACACAGACAGAACTTTAGAAGAATTCACAAAACAAATGGACAAAATAATTGAATATTTGGAAGCCATACAAAACCAAAAATTAGAAAGCCAAAAGATAAATACTAAGACTTCAGAATTAGATAATACATTTAAAGAGCAAAGAAATAAAAATGAAATCAATGGAATGCTAGAATTACTGAGCTTGAAGATAAATCTCTCAATATTCATTTGCTATAAGAACAATTAGAAAAAATAATTTAAAAATCCAAAGAAAGCCTAAGATTTATGTAGGACACTATCAAGAAGAAATGTATGACTGGAATTCCAGAACAAGAAGAGACAAAAACAAAACAAAACAAAAACAACCCATAGAGAATACTGTCCAAGAATTGTTGGAAGAGAAACTTCCCTAACATCATGAAAGATCAGAATATAGCCAATTAAGATAGACCCAAACAGGAAAGACCCCAAAAGAAAATCACCAAGACATATAATCATACTTTCCAACACCAAAGATAAGCAAAGAATCCTGATAGCAGCTCAGGAAAAATGACAAGTTATCTACAATGGAGAACTAATAAGACTAAGCTCTGATTTCTTAGCAGAAACTGCACAGGCAAGAAGATAATGGAATGACATATATAAAATTCTAAAAGAAAAAAATTGTCAACCATGAATTACATACTCAGAAAAATAGTCCATCAATTATAATGGTGAACTGTGGACATTTCCAAATCAAAAGAAAGTAAAAGAATGTGTGAAAATCAGACTAACCTTACAAAAAAAGTTACTAAAGGAAATTTTATGGACAGAGAATGAACAGCAGACAACCTGAGACTAACATACTTGACAATATCACCCAGAACTCAACCCAAATATAGAAGTATTCAAAGTAAAACAAACCTACAAGACTGAAAATAGGAGAGCTCTAGAGATGTCAGTTGCAACAAAAAAATAAACCATGAAGTAAAAAGAGGGAATAATTTAGTTACAGAACTTCTAAATGAGGAGGAATGAAGTAGATTTCAAGAAAAATAATAAAAATAATAACAATCCTAACTCTAACTGTAACCGTATAACTAGAACAAGTCTTACTTTTGCCCTAGCCCATAACTGTAATACTAAACAAACATAGAGTAGCCATAGCCCTAAATCCTTACTCCTACCCACTCCAT